ATAATCATAGACTAGTCCACTATTTAAAGTTGCTTTAAATAAAACCTTATTTTTCACCACTCTTCTGACCTAGCATCTCTCCTAATGAAAAAACACCTTTAGGCAAAGGTCTGGCAGGAATACCTACATGTATGTGTTACTCAGGCTGCTGCAGGGCTCTAATAACCTAGTGTGCTCTTGGCTTCTAAGACACACAGGAAGGAGACCTCACCTTCAGTCATCAGGGTGTTGGAAGCGGGAGGTAGTAGGTCCACGAGGGTGTCTTGCTTTTGTGCACCTATCTGGGGTGCTATTTCCAGAGGAGCTCCTTTATAGATTGTGCCCAAGATGGATTTCTAAGATGCTCTCAGAGTTGTCCAGCTGCCCTCACCAATAAGTCACAGTCTTTGTAGGATGATAGAAACCACCAGTCAAAGCAGATGCATATGGGTTGTGGGGAAGCCTTCTTTAGTATCTAACATAGCTGGATTAAAACAAAGAAACTTAACCATTAAGCAAATCTTGACTTTAATTATTAATTTAGATTATAGCAAATATCAACTGGGTGGAGCTTAAGAGTCTACTCTCAGCATGGGCACTTTAATACTTATTAACAGGGATTTTGTGAGCTTGAATGAAGACTACAATGAGTCCTTAATTTTTGTTCAGCAAAAAATTAGTCTTATTTCATAAACAAGTCAATAAGATCCATAAAGATTTATTGGTAATTTAGCTCATTCTCTCTGAGGTCGCTAAGTAACACTTTTAGTGACTTATGTTGTGCAACAAGTTGTACTCCAGTATGTATTTACAATTTTACTACAATTTGCAATAATGACTTAAATACACATTCATTTCCTGGATTTTCCAAAACATAATCAGATGCAATCAAGTGAAGTTCACAACATTTATGTGTAATGTGTAAAACTAACAAAATTGCCTTAAAATAGTTTTCTGTGGAACTACTACTATGTTATCTTCATTTAATGATGCCCGGGAAACTATTCCTAACTTAAAATGAAACCTAGATAGCAAAGGCTATGAAGCACTTATCATCTGTCTCCTATGAGAAATCACCCAGTGGCTAGAAAATACTAACAAACCTTCACTAAACTAGAATTGTCTTTCCCTTTAAAATGAGAGCATTAAGAAGCCGGAATCAACTGCAGATGAAGGAATCCCGAAACAGATTTATCTTTGAGGCATACTTCCTCTTATAGGGCCAAAACAATGACAAAAGAAAATTAAATATTTTCATGAACTTTCAACCATATATATGTGTGTGTGTGTGTATATATATATATATATATATATATATATATATATTTTTTTTTTTTTTTTTTTTTTTTTGTATCAGAAATTAACCCAGAGGCAATTAACCACTGAGCCATATCCCCAGCCTTTTTATTTTTAATTTAGAGACAGTCTTGCTAAGTTGCTTAGGGTCTTGCTAAATTGCTGAGGTGGCTTTGAACTTGTGATTCTCCTGCCTCAGCTTCCCAAGCTGCTGGGATTACAGGCATGAGCCACCAGGCCCAGACTCAATTTTAAATTGTTTTATATAAAACTCTTCTAAAGTACAAGATGGTCTTGCTGGTTTAAATTTAGTCTTTGTCAAATAAAAAGACAAATTACCCAATAAAAGAAGGTCATGTGGTTCTTATACTGAATGTTTACTAATATACATACATTATACTTTTCCTGAGTATTAATCAAATACTTGGAACTGTTCAACAGATTAAATTCTGATATGTTTTCTTTTTAAAATTTTTTTAGTTGTTGATAGACCTTTAATTTTTAAAAATTTATTTATATGCAGTACTGAGAATTGAACCCAGTGCCTCACATATGCCAGGCAGTGTATTATCACTGAGCCCCAGCCCCAGCCCCTGATATAACTATTTTCTATAAGGACTTGATTCCTCAAATCTAAACAATTGTATAATAACTATACCAATTTGCTGAAAGGATCATTTCAGTTTCCCTTAATGCAATATTATTCAAAAGTTCAGGGAAAAATTGCTAACAAATAATTATCCTTTAAATATGCTATGAATAATCCTCTTGACTTAAGGAGAGGTCAAACTCTGAGGACACAAAAATAAAGGACAAAAACCACAAGCCTACAGAAAAGCAATTTTCAGGGGAGTGGTGGGTAGGTACTGGGGATTGAACCCAGGAGTGCTTTACCACTGAGTTACAATTCCAGTCCTTTTTTATTTTGCGACAGGGTCTTGCTAAGTTGCTGTGGCTGGCCTCAGTTTCCCAAGTGGCTGGAATCATAGACCCGAACTACTACACGTGGTGGGAAGCAATTTTTGCTTTTGGTAGATTCACTATTTGGCAAATTGTCATTATGATGAATGAGACTCAATTTTAGTGCAAGTTTCTCTGGATTATTATAAAACTATAGCAGTCACATAATTTCAAATATCAGAAATAAAAAATATACCAAATTAGAAGTTGAGGATGTAGCTTAGTGTTAGAGCACTTGTCTAGCAAGTGGGAGATCCTGGGTTTAATCACCAGCATGGGGGGGAGAAATCACACCAAATTAATTAATATATAAGAGTTTTAAAAGGCAACAGAATTTTGATACATTAAAAAAATATATAGCCAGGCAAAGTGGGGCACATCTGTAATCCCAGCTACTTGGGCTAAGGCAGGAAGATCCTAAGTTTGAGGCCAGCTTGGGCAACACAGTGAGAACCTGTCTCAAAATAAAATTTTAAAAAGGCTGGGGATTTCATTCAGAGGTAGAATGCTCCTGGGCTCAATTCCCAGGACAACAATAAATAAATTTTAGAAATAAATAAATAAGAGGTCTATATGTATTCAACAATTGGATCAATGTAATAGATAAAAGCCATATTGAGATTGAAACAAATGCTAGAAATTCATACTGCAAGGGAGAAATGGAAAAAAAAATGCAGGGCAGCTCAGGATTTCACAGAAAATACTGAAATAGAAATAAAAATGTTCCTGTCCCCTGTATCCCCTAAGGACAATAACTGAATTCACCTTAATAATAATAAAGTCAGAGCCAGCAATCCTGTGTCAACTCAGACCTGAATGACAGGAGATAAAATTTTCCATATCATCACAACTACTGAACATCCATAAGTCTACCATGAAAAACAACTTTTTCCCCCTTAATTTTGGAGATACAAACACAAGGAGCTGGGGATACAGCTCCGTGGTAGAATGCCTGCATAGCATGTACAAAGTCTTCAATCCCTAAACTGGCATTTAAAAAAAAAAAAAAAAATCCAAAGAGAGTAATGTCTACAACCTTCACCATCTTATCAAGTCAAGAAGCTTTGGCATTTCATCAACTCCTGTTGATTTACTAAGACACCTCAAAAACAAGAGTCCCATTACTCTGTACCTACCTCACAAAGAATGGAAAGACAGCTTTCAAACAAATGAAAATCAAGAGAACAAAGACTGTTATTGACATTCATACAGCTGTCAAAAACAATTTAATCTGTTAAGACCAAGTAATCAGGAAGACATTGTATATTAAAGACATAGTATATTAAATGACAACACAACATAGAAACACAAGTTGCTGAACCCAAGACCTACATTACTCAAAATGTATTTGGTACTTTACATAAAAACATGATCTGAGCAATCAGAGATTATAAAGAAGCTCCAATTATATTAAGTTTCCAAACTGGCAAATCAAGAATTATGACCTTATTCAAATAGTAGGTATTCTCCAAGGTAAGTTCATGTGGTCAACAGCAATGGATGGAGCAAGAACTCCAAGAAGAAAAGACCAACAGGGCTGGGGATGTAGCTCACTGGCAGAGCCAGGCCCTGGGTTCCATTCCCAGCACCTCCAAAAGTAAATAAAACAAAGACCAGCAAAACAATAGCCTATCAGAAAAGTTATAAACTTGGGTCACACTATAGTCAAAGAGGCTTAGATGATTTCAGGCAACACCAGAGAATCCCACAAAGAAACAGATACACTTCCTGTGACTGATCGCAGAACAGTTTCCCAAAGGGTGTTTCTTCTGTGACAAGCAAGAGCTCCTCCTGTCTACTTTTGGTTTCTCTGCTCCTAACAGATGCTTCCTTGCCCTTCCTTCACTGAACAACTTGAGGCTTGGCTGACCCCTCAAGTTCCTCCAGCAGTGGGGGCGGGGTGGTCTTCTAGACACGCACATCACTCGGGAAAACAACAGCATTTTGCGCAACAGGAGGAACCTCTTCTTATTCACCTTTTTCCCTCCCACAGCACCTAGCACTAAGTGCTTACTGTCCCTTGAAAAGAAATGAATACTGGGACCTACACGTAGCCACAAGCAGATTTCCAGGGCTTTTCATCTTACCAATCTTGCAGTGTCAACAACTGGAACTCCCTCTATTGCCACATTTGGGGGGGGGGGGGGGGGGGGGCTCTATGGTCATATTTGGCAGTCATCAGCCTTGGGGTCCCAGGCTGAGGCTGGATTAGGACAGCCTGCTAGGGGTTTTGCGTGTTTTTCTCAGCCAACTGTTCTAAGTAAAATCAAGCAAGGGTGCTCCTCCTGGACAACCTAGGGGCCTTCAAGACACAAAAGGCCTCCAGTGCACGTTGCACAGAACCTCCTGACAGGACTTCACGCAAACCGTCATTCACAGGCGGTTCTAGGGCCGGCCCCTACGGAACTCGTCTGGGTGGTGTCGTGGACTTCTAGTCGCCCCGAAAGGTGCCTGGGACTGTGGTTTTATAGTCTGAGCAACAGTCAGGCCTCGAAGGCCAGGCCAGAGAAATGTGCACTCCGCATCACCAGCGCCCGCCTTCCCCACTCGGCCGCTGGGACCGAGTTTCCCGCCCCACGGCCCGACCAGAGGTTGGTGGCAGTTGGAGGCAGTTGGGACCGGCCCCAGCAGGTTGGAACCGGTCTGGGCCGGGCCGGAGGAAGAAGGGGGGGAGGGAGAGGCCGCCTCGCGCTCTCCCTGCGCGCGTGACTCACGCTGGCCGCTGACGTCAGGCGTGCGCGCGCGGCGGGGGGGGCTCTACGTACGTGTAGTGCTGCGGTTTCTCGGGCTGTGCCTGCAGCACCGGAGCGGTAGCGGCCGGGGGCGCCGAGGAAGCTGCGGAGCCGCCGGGCCCGGGGCCCTTCGACATGGTCCTGTCTTCCTGCCTCTTCGCCGCTCCCCTTTTATTATTCAGTCTGCGCGGTCCGCGCCGAGGACCCAGTGCGCCTGCGCCGCGCCACGAGAACGTGAAGACCCCCCGCACAGCAGCAAGGGTTGCTGGGAGTTGTGGTCTTCTGCTCGGCCGAAATTTTACCGTCGGCAGAGGGTTGCTGCCAAAGCAAGGGACCACAATACCCAGGGGTCCATGCGGACGTGTCCCGGATGGTGAAGGCCCGCGAAGGCTTCTGGGAGTTGCAGTTCGGTCGCAGATCTCCTCTTCACCAGCGCGATTTCAGTTTAGTTGGGGATTCCTTCCTTGAAACTGAAGCCCCGAAAGTAGAGAGGGCCAAGAGACTTCTATGAAACCGTTCCAAGTGTAATTCCACTGCCAACGATGCAGTAATTACTTTGCTGCCGTACTTAGTACAGCTGGGGCATGGTTCTAATGCCGGCTTAGAGCAGTGCCCACAAGCAGGACTTAAGACTGTATTGTGGGTTCTTAGGGCTAGGCCTTTGTACTGCATCATCTGGAGTCCAGTCGGCCAGCGATTTTTTTCGTCCCTGCGGCGGGATTGACTTTAGAGGCATGAAAAGACTGCCTGCTGGAAGTCAGCTTGAGAAAATTTGCTAAGGAAGAGCTATATTATACAACACTGTGTCCGCCCGCATCTTTGCTAAGGCGCTTCATTAACATTTACCAACCCTGAAACCTGGAACTCCACCACCTACGTCCTTTCTCATCTGACACCTGGCCTGATCAGCTTATATTAAAGGCCAAGGAGGAATTCAATCTTCGTCTAGAATAGTCTCGGGAACCCTGGCCAGTTGCACTTATGTTGAGAAGCATCAAAGTCCAGAGGAAAGGCTTGGGTTTGAGTAGGGGATGCGTCCTCTCTGGGCCACAGCCTTTTTACTTGGGAAAATATTTTTCTCTTCCCTATCTCCCACCAGTCAGGCAGAATAGTTCACTTTAAAAATAAACCAGTCTCCCCAAACCTGGGGATTGGATGTAAGGTTTAAAATGTTCTTCATAGATACTTTAACATTTGTGATGACTTTGTTTACCATGTTGAATCTATTTCAAATCCATATTTTTAGACTAATTTACATTTTTTGATGGGATTGTTCCAACTAATGATTGCCTCATTAAAAAAAAAATCAATATCCTGGGCGGGGCAGGAGGGTAATGATAAATAGGAAAATTGTTAGTATTAAAGAACGAATGATACAGGTCTGGCTCAGTGGTGCATGTCTATAATCCTAGCAGCTCAGGAGGCTGAGACAGGAGGATCCCGAGTTCAAAGCCAGCCTCAGCAACGGGGTAAGAAACTCAGTAAGACCCTGTCTCTAAATAAAATACAAAATAGGGCTGGGGATGTGGCTGAGTGGCCGAGTGCCCCTGAGTACAGTCCCCAGTACACCCTCCCCACACACGCGCACACACACAAAATAACAAAAAAAGGCAGAGAATGGTACTTCTTTATTTCTGAATAATCTCCTATCCGAATCCAAACTGTCAGTTTACAGAATTGAGAATCTGGCCAAGTCTATTGTGTAGCTACTAGGATCTCTTGAAGAGGAAAAATTCCAAAATGATGCAAGTTGTGTATTGCTTCAATCTTATGATTATATCCAAGTAATTATAATTGGTTTATATATTATCCCTAAAATTTCCAGGTATGCTGTCACTGCAGAAATACATTTCACTCCACTGCATTTTAAAATGATAGATATACACCAAGAGTTTCAAATTAAGTCTAAATACTTGTAGAATTAAAAGATGATGTCATCCAAATTGCTTAATTTACAGAAGAGGAAACCGAAACCCAGAGAAGTTGAGTAACTTACTCAGCAAGTCAATGACAGAACAAGACCTAAGACCATAACCTGCACACTGCATCACATTTGCTGTTTTTTGTTTGCTTGAGGCAGTGGGATTAGAACTCAGGGTCTCACCTTGACTATAGGCAAAGGCTCTACCACTGAGCCACACCCCCAGCCCATTTGCTATTGTTTTTATTGTACTGCATAGACTTTTTTTAATGCTTATTTTTTAGTTTTAGGTGGATACAATACCTTTATTTTATTTTATGTGGTGCTGAGAATGGAACCCATTGCCTGACACGTGCTAGGCAAGTGCTCTACCCCTTCAGCCACAACCCCAGCCCATGCATAGACCTTTTTAATTCTGCATTTTCTGCATTGCTTGTTTTTCTCTAAATCAAGTTAGGAAAAAGAAAACCTGTATAAGTACTTTTCCACTAACCATGATGGATGAATGTACATCTATACCTTGTTTCTCCTAGAACAGGTTTTAGTTTCTAATAATTGGCAAAACAGTATGTGGGGGGGATAACTGAACTGTCTTTCTCCTTAATAGCATGGAAATGACAGGGCTTGGGATCTCTTAGAAAAACCATAGAATGTAAAGAGGGGGGTCAGTTTAGGGGTTCATTCCCCCTCCAGGCCAAAAAGCCAAAAAAAAAAAAAAAAGACATTTTTCCAATTGTATCCCAGAACATTTGACAGCCTCCTACATGGGTATAAAATAGTTCCATTTCCTAGCTTTTCACATGTTCTGAGAACAGAGTAAGAGCCTCCATCTTGAGTTTTCAGTATGACATGAATGAAATACTTTAATTATTTTCCTCTACCCCAAACTTTGAGCAGAAGGAGATGTTAAAGTTAGCTAAATTATCACATGGGAGTGCTGAGGTGTAAGTCAGTGGTAGAGCACTTGCCTAGCATGTATAAAGTCACGTTAT